CTCTTTCCCAAAAAGGGAGAGAGGCCAGGTATCACCTGTGGAGCAGAGAGGTCAGCATAGGCAGAAATAAGAGGGAGCCACTAGGCAACTGTCCGCATTGTCTGTGACTTGGTGTCCACTGAAGTGTTGACTGTTCCCAGACACATCTTCTGAAGGCACCATGTTTCCCTGGTATACAATGACTGAAGTCAGCAATGGAGTGGCTGTACCATGAAAAAAATGCACCCCCACTGGTGACCGTTTCCTTTTGTCATTTTCTTTGAGTTTCTTCTGAAGCAAAGGGGTGGTTTAGTTGCACCCACATTATTTCCATGAGGGCAGTCAGTGCATTGGACAAGGTATATCACACATTGCCAGAGGTATTTTTAGGATTCACCAAGGCTGGTGGTTTTAGTGCACTGATCATGGTGATGTGGAGATGGTTGGGCAAGCGCTGCATTTGTTGCTAGGTCACATTCTGTCTGATCACTGAAGTTTGCTTATAATGGAGTTGTTTGAAAGAAGGGAATGAGTTGAGAACGTCTTTCAAGTTGTGACCCTCTACAGATAGATTGTAATTGATGGTAGCTGGTTTGGTAAAAGATATTCCCTAACAAATCTTGCTTTATTATTCCCCTAACAAATCCCCACTCACACATTCCCTGGATCATCACAGGTGCAGCAGTCCTACTAGAGGCAGGGTGGAAGACTGCTGGGAAAACAGGCAGACCCGTAAAGTGTGTGTTCGGGGCAGAAGGAGATTGCTAGGGACAGGACCCTGTCCTGCAGCTCAAGAAGTCACGTCAGTCCCTAATTTCATTTTGGGCTGTGAATTCTGCTTTAATAATGCAAGCATCTGCTAGTTGTTAAGTGCAGAGCACAACTTCCTCAGTATCCATTTTGAAGGATGAGGCCACCATGATAATTGATAAACCCCTTTCTCAAGATGTCATCAGTTGTTTCAAAAGCTAAATCTTGGGTCTCCCATCATGTCAGCTGTAACACCAGTAAGTGCTGATTGTAGGTGTCATCTTTTTTTGATTCTCACTCTTTTTAGGGCAAGCTAGCATGCAGGTGCTGGCAGCAGCTGCTTTAGCAATTAATATGAAACACAACAATTACATAAATCAGTGCTTTAGAGCAACCTATGCATGAAAACAGTAAAGCAGCTTGCTGATATGGGATAGCCATGCAGTACTTACGGGAGACAGTATTGCAAGACAGTGGAGCATACTGCAAATAGCAGGGAGCTAAGAATTTCATTATAGTTGATGAAAATTAGGGAACAAAGCCTAGCATATTTGGCAGTAAGTGAGGGCTGCATGGAGAGAAGGTAAACATGGTTCATAATTTACAACCAATGCAGGTCTCGGAGCCTTAAATATCAAGGGTATAATTTCAACATGAACTTCACTTGCATAAGTAACCAAATGCAAATACTAAATGACAGCAGCTAGTGCAAAAGATCATCAACATAAACTCATCATGAAGAGTAAACAGTCCATATCAGACTGGAGCCCAGCAGAGAGCCTCAAGGAACGCGGCAGGAGCTCAGAGCGCGGACTGAAAGTTTGGCAACTCATGTCATTAGTCCTGAAGTGTTGCAGAAATAGGGCCTAGAGCATAGAGCAACTGAAGGAAATGGAAACATCAGATAAAAACGGACTCTCAGACATCTGAAGCCATGTGTCTCCTGAACAGAGCAGAACTGTTATCTGCATACTAGAGCAGCTGATCAGAAGCATCCAACTTAGATCATTAAGCATGATGTAAATAGTTTTTAATATCAGCAGGGACTAGTAATGAGGCTTCCTTATGCAGTCATCCATATAATGGCAATAGGTCTGGAAGAGAGCATTACAGTGTCCAGGCCAATGCCTGAGGAGCTCATCAGCTCCTGTTGAATATTATTTTTACTTATCAGGTATTGGCTGGCATCAGTTTCATTCTTTGTGTACTAGAACCTCTTCAGGGCAAGGACTGCAGCGAGAACTGTCCCTGCTTATAGGAGCTCTGTAGTTGACTGAAGGGACAAGGATCTCACTCTTTATCCTTATCCAGGGGCAAACAATCCTGACTGAGTGCAACTTAATGATTAGCACCTCATGGTGGAGGCCTCATAAGCTAAAGTAAGGAAGAGGCCTTAACTCAGCTGAGATGAGAAACAAAGGCAGGAGAGAGAGGGTGTTAAGAAGCTGGAGGAGAGCAGAGGACAAAGGACTCACCTGTCCCATCTCCTTTATCAGCAGCAGGAATACAAATGATCAGGCAGAACGCTGCTGTGCCTTGATAGGGTCTGTTACATACAGGGTTTTGCAGCCCTCAGCAGAGATGCACTCTACACCGTAACATTTGCTACAGAAGGGTTTAGTGGAGAGAGAGAAATAAACTGTAGCCTATAATAGGCATTAAGGTATTATATGATTACATATAGTATAATATATTACTACATGCTATATATATTTATATACTACTATATCAATACTCTGTGCACTTCTATAGTGAATTTTAGTTCTTGAAGAAAATTGTAAAGGTAATTTTATGGGATCTGAAGACTTCTCACAGTTCAGCTTCCCCACACTGACCTGCTTGGAAACATCCCCTGCTTCCCAACCTGACTGTGATCGTGTACCCAGTGGTGCAAATACCTTGGCCACCAGCAACCAGCCAATAGAGCATGTTCCCAGGAACGACAGAGGTGAGATGTGCCACATCCCAATACCAACAGTCTGTCCTGAGGGGGCAGAAGACTCCTCCAGCCCCTAACAGGAGAGGATTCATAAAGGAATGCCTGCTTCCCCTTCATTTGCAGTTGGTTTGAAAAGGTGTGCTAAAACCAGCATGGCCCTCCCTTAGGATGCACAGTTTTAAATGTGTTCAGCTTGCTTGAGAATACTGCTTACCCTGAGGTCTTCTCTTGGTGTAGATGTGCAGATCAGGATGATGCCTGGCAGCAGAGTACACCTAGGGGCATTGCTGTGTTATGAGCTGTACAGATATGGACAGAGAAAGAGATTAAATTCTTGGCTGGCCATACTCCAAGAGACCCCAAGAATGGAACTATTCCCCCTAGAGGCACAGCAAGCTCCCTCAGTGCCCTGGGCAGAGTGCCTTCCACTAGGAAATGGCAGGAGGGAGGAGTCTTACCTTTCCCCAACTCTTTCTGCTCTGGTGGCAGCTCCAGTGACTGCAGTAGCATAGGCTCACACCAGAGCATGGGGCTACCCAGCTTCAAAGGCTGTGCGGCATGGGATGCACCTATTGGTGGTTCATGGGAATGGGCCTGCCCTTGCACTGCCCCTGCTGCTGCCTACCCATTTTATCCAATGGCTCTTAAATGCAAAAACTGCTAGGGAGAAAAACTCAGGACCCCTCCCTTACATTAAGGCTCAGAGCATGAACAAGAAGTTGCTATGTCTCAAGGGCAGGAGTTGGCGAGAAGAATCAATGGGCATGGCCCTGCAAGTCAAAGGACTCCGAGCTGGGACTCATATACCTGGTGAGCCAAATGGTGAGCAGTCACACTGACACTCATGAGTCACTAGATTCTATGAAACCTGACTCCCTCAAACACTTACCCTGTTTGTTACATGTTTTACCATAGCATGGAGGAGCCTTAGTCTCAGATTAGGACCTCATTGCACTAGCTTTAGCAACACAGAACAGAAGGGCAGGCTCCATCCCAAAAGCCTTGCACATCCCTAGTCTGGCACCTGCTCAAACACAGATACGAGCATGAAACCAGAAGAAAGCCAGGAGCACCATCTATTTCTAGCTCTGCCCAGCTCTGACACTCCAGGTCATGTAGCCCTGCTGTCTCATTTTCTTCATCTGTAAAATGGGAACAGTACTGACTTCAAGTGGGGGCCACGCAAGGCTCAGTGAAGGATTTTTATATGACATTTTAATAGAATCATAGAAAGGGACCTCAGGAGGTTATTTAGTCCAACCCCCTTCTCAAAACAGGACTGTCCTCAAATATATTATCCCAGCCAAGGCTCTCTCTAGCCGGGTTTAAAAAACCCCCAAGGATGGAGATTCCACAGCCTCTTTGCGTAACCTGTGCCAGTGATTTACTACCCTCCCAGTGAAAAAAAAGTTCTTCCTAATATCTAACCTAAACTTCCCTTGCTGCAACTTCAGACGGTTGCTCCTTGTTCTGTTACCTGCCACTGCTGAGAGTCCAGCTCCATCCTCTGTGGAACCACTCTTCAGGTAGCTGAAGGTGGCTATTAAATCCCCCTCGGTCTTCTTGTCTCCAGACTAAATAAGCCAACTTTCCTCAGCCTTTGCTCATAAGTCATGTGCCACAGGATGCTAACCATTTTTGTTGCCTTCTGTTGGACTTTCCAATTTGTCCACATCCTTTCTGTAGTGGGGGGCCCAAAACTGGACACAGTACTCCAGATGTGGCCTCACCACTGATGAAGAGAGGAAGAATCACTTCCCTTAATCTGGTGGCAACGCTTCTACTAATGCAGTATGTCCTTAGCCTTCTTCACAACAAAGGTACACTATTGGCTCGTATTCAGCAACCTGTAACCACCAGGTTGTTTTCTGCAGAGCTGCTCTTTAGCCAGTTGGTCCCCAGCGGTGCATAGGATTGTTCCGTCCTATGTGTAGGACTTGCATTTGTCCTTATTGAACCACAGTAGATTTCTTTTAACAAATTGGACAATTGGATCAGTTTCTCTGAATCCTAGCTGTACCCTCCAGCATATCTACTACCACCCTCCAACTTGGTGTCATCTGCAAACTTGCTGAGGGTGCAATCTATGCCACCTTCCAGGTTACTGATGAAGATATTAAAACTGGCCTTAGAATCGACCCCTGGGACACTCCACTTGATATCAGCTACCAACTAGACATCGAGCCATTGACTACTACCTTCTGAGCCTGATCTGGCCAGTTTTCTACCCACTTTACGTCCAGTCATCCAACCCATACTTCCTTAGCTAGCTTGCGAGAATGCTGTGGAACGCTGTATCAAAAGCCTTGCTGAAGTCAAGGTACATTATGTCCACTGGTCTCACATCCACAGAACCAGTCATCTCCTCATAGAAGGCAATCGGGTTGGTCAGGCATGACTTGCCCTTGGTGAATTCAGTGACTGTTCCTAAATCACCTTCTCCTCCAAGTGCTTAGAAATGGATTCCTTGAGGACCTGCTCCATTTTTCCAGGGACTGAGGTGAGGTTGACCAGACTGTAGTTCCCTCGATCCTCCTCCTTCCCTTATATTTGCCCTTTCTCAATTTCCCAGGACCTTTCCCAATTACCATCAGTTTTCAGTGATGATGGCCAGCACCTCTGCAATCACATTGGCCTCAGCACCCTCAGGTGCATCCTGTCTGGCCCCTGGACTTGTACACATCCAGCTTTTCTTAATAGACCCTTACCTGTTCTTTTGCCACTGTTGGCTGCTCACCTCCTCCCCAAACTGTGCTGCCAGCTTATTTTTTAAGGCATTGAGTACTTCAGCCTTTTCTGCATCCTCTGTCACTAAGTTGCCTCCTCCATTCAGCAAGGGACCCACATTTCCCTGATCCTCCTCTTGCTGACATACTTGTAGAAACTCTTCTTGTTATTTCATAGATTTCATAGACATCAGGGCTGGAAGGGACCTCGGAAGATCATCGAGTCCAGCCCCCCGCCCAAAGGGCAGGAAGTCAACTGGGGTCATAGGATCCCAGCAAGATAAGCATCCAGTTTCATCTTGAAGGTGTTCAATGAAGGCGCTTGAACCACCTCCGGTGGCAGGCTGTTCCAGACCTTGGGGGCTCGGACAGTAAAGAAATTCTTCCTTATGTCCAGCCTGAAACGATCTTGAAGTAGTTTGTGACCATTCGACCTCGTCATCCCTTGGGGCGCTCTGGTGAACAAACGTTCCCCCAGATGCTGGTGGTCACCCCTGATAAACTTGTAGGTGGCCATCAGATCACCCCTGAGCCTGCGCTTTTCCAGGCTAAAGAGCCCCAGGGCTCTCAGCCTGTCATCGTAGGGTCTGCTTCCCTGACCTCTGATCATGCGCGTGGCTCTTCTCTGGACTCTCTCAAGCTTCTCCACATCCTTTTTGAATTGTGGAGCCCAAAACTGGACACAGTACTCCAGCTGCAGCCTCACTAAGGCCGAGTACAAGGGGAGAATGACGTCCCGGGATTTGCTTGAGAAGCATCTATGGATGCAAACCAGAGTTTTGGTCGCTTTACTAGCTGCCGCATCGCATTGCAGGCTCATGTTCATCTTGTGGTCAAAGATGACCCCCAAGTCTCTTTCTTCCATAGTGCTAGCCAACATAGCTGGGCTATGATGCTCGCCAGCTCCTTGAGTACCCTGGGGTGAAGATTGTCAGGGCCAGCTGACTTGAAGGTATCCAGCTTCTCAAGATGTTCCTTCAGAAAGTCAGCATTAAAGGAGGGCAGGGGATCACCCTCACCCGGACTTCCCGGCCCTGTAGCGGGCATGGGCGTCCCATGGGACTGATGAAAGACCGACGCAAAGTACCTATTTAATAGGTTGGCTTTTTCCTGGGTGTCAGTTGTCAGTTGCCCCATCTGGTTCAGTAGGGGTCCAATGTTGCCCCTGCTTTTCCTCCGGCTCCCCACATATCTGAAAAAGGACTT